AAGCACTCATACCCCCACCCCAAATATTTATATTTGCACCTCACACTTCTGCCATGATACCCGCTGAATATTTTGTTTTGCAATATATTTGGATCAGTTTGTTAACTTGTAATTTCATTATATTATATATTTTATTTATGTTTACAACCTATCATAGCCTTTTTTTCGCGTCACTTTATTATTTTAATTCTTTTGATCCAAATAATTTTATCAGAGGAAAGTGTAAATACTTTTTTTTTTTTCTATCGGGTAACCACGATAGCCTACTGGCCTAGTGGCCACCCACACACCACCTATGTGTGGAGGGTATTGCCACATCCATTTTCAACCCTTTTTACTGATATCATACCTGAATCCATGGGCACAGTGTGAGTATCTCCGGGATAANTTTTTTTTTTTTTTTTTTTTTCTATCGGGTAACCACGACAGCCTACTGGCCTAGTGGCCACCCACACACCACCTACCTATGTGTGGGGATTATTGCCACATCCATTTCCAACCCTTTTTACTGATATCATACCTGAATCCATGGGCACAGTGTGAGTATCTCCGGGGGAACACCTTGCCAGTTAAGCTGACACTCTTTACACCATTGGTGCATCGGGTCCACTTGCCACTATGTAGCTTTTCCCCGGAGAGGACGCCATATTCCAGGACGTCCACTCCTTTCCAATTAAGCCAGCGCTCTCTGCCGAAGCATCGGATCCAGGCTAATTAGCATCTCCAGAGAAGCCCCATGATTCAGGGACCATTCCTCGCTGGTAAGGCCAGCGATCCCTGCCCGACTCCTGACATCTGATCTGCAAATCCCTACCTATAGCCCTAACACTGTTTCGCATTCTCCCAGGCCCGAAGACCTGTGGGGCAAGGAAAAAACTCTGGAATCACTCTGAAGGAAAATTCCATGGAAAAAACCGCCCCGAAACAGCCGGGGTTACATAGGGACTTTTCTTGATGAAAACAGTTTTTGAAAAAATCTGCATTCACCGGGAATTGAACCCACGACCTCTAAAACCGCGTTGTATCAGTAATAAGTACGCTATCCACTGAGCCAACGCCGCTCCTATGTTTTTTTGTTCTCTATAGTTGTTTTCCTGACATATCAACAAATCTTGAAATCTTAGTATTGTACACATTCAAAGTAATAAAAAAAACTTTCAAAAGCATTGATAATATAAAATAGTGTTGATTAATAGATATAGAATTCTATACTCAAGAAATCAAAATAATTTTAAAAGCTAAAAAAAATGTTTAGACCCTTACTAAGGTAAAAAACCGTGTCAAAAATTGAAAACGAACAGCATCAACCTCAATAGAGTGCAAAACTAAAATTTGTTTCGAGCCGGTATAAGTTTGCAAAAACAATAAGCTTAAATACGAAATTATTGAAGTCAGACCTCAGGGCTCTGAGACATGACCGATTACATACATACACTCATACATATTCGCTATGCACCTATGTCAGGTGGCGCCATTGAGTGAGAGAAATTGTCCCTCGCTAAGAGTGCCAGAATGCATGGAGTCTTACAGGAAATTTTTTTAATAAATTAAAAAGAAGGTCATTAAGAGTGAATTGACCAAATGAATCAGTGATTTGAGTGTGTCTTATGTTAGTGTACAGTAATAAATTTTGTTTGGTGTTGCCATGTGTACTGCAAGATTGGAAAAAATGAAAATATTGATTGCGACTATGAGAACACAGTATATTTGAGTGCACATACATGCACTTGTGTAAAGCTAAAAAAACACAAGCAATCCATGGAAACGTAGTATAAATGTGTAAAAGTTAACTTAACCTGTCATTAGTATTAATTTTCATTGAACACTGTGTTGTGAGAAATAGATAAATGTAAGCAGTACTTGTGTTTCTCAAGCTCCATACAAGTGCAAGCATTTTTATACACATGTATATGTTGTGTTAGCACAGTCACAATCCATGTTTTTATTTTTTCCAATCTTGTAGTACATATGACAACACCAACCAAAACTTATTACTGTACATTAACATTATTAAAAAGTTTTCCTACAAGGCTCCATGCACTCTGGCGATTTTAGCGAGGGACAATTTCTCTCACTCGACGGCGCCACCTGACATAGGTGCATAGCGAATACACACATACATTCATACGCATACCTGTACATACATTTTTTAATTATGAACTATTTTTATTTCTAATACCATAAAATACATTAGTAACTGATTTTCAAAAAAAATTTTTTTTTATCCGATACAATGAAGGTTCTTTAATGAGTTAGCAAAACTAGTGTATTTATAATATTTTCATAATATTTTTTCTTATATAAAGGTAATTTATAATTTTGAGATACCGATTGTACATAAAAAAATGTCAATACACAAAAATAAATGTCTCCCACAACCTTGTTGAAAAATCTCAAAAAAATTTTGATGTTAAAATCTTACTTGAGAAATGTCTTCACAATTTCTGCACGAGCAAAAACGTAACAAACAAGTTATTACAAGCAAAATAAGTCAAAACCGTGGTAAAAACAGCTTGTATTAATTATTGTCCTGCAAATATTCTGCAAAATTCTCCAACAAAAAGGAGTGCATTGAATAAAAATAATAACGCGCACTTGACTGACCGTCAGATTTGTGCACTTCTTACGCAAGAGTCTTGTGCACTCGCCTGCACACAAATCTTGCGCAAATCTACCGCAATCGGGAGTACGTCGAGTTAAGACAAATAACGTACAAGACTGATCGTCAGATTGGTGCACTTCTTACGCAAGGGTCTTACGATATGGCCTGCACGCAAATCTGCCGCAAGTGGAAGTGCGTCAAGTCAGAATGATAACGCACTCGACTGATCGTCAGATTTGTGTACTTATTACGCAAGAGTCTTGCGCACTCACCTGCACGCTAATCTTGCGCAAATCTGCCGCAAAGCGTCTTATGCACTTGCCATGCATCAGAATAACATAAGATCCAGGAAGCAGACCAAGTGCAGACTTACGCACTGCCAGTGCGTAAGATTGTGCTACCAGGGAGGCTTCAAATATAATAAATAGTGTACTTTAAGGATCAAAAGGATCAGAATAGAAAAAAATAAAAACAAATCGACTTTACTATATGGATGGGGCTTGCATGATTCCACAAAATAGCTTTGAAACATAAGTTAAGACCAAATGATCTATTCAATATCAGAATTTTCTTAAAAAACGACTTAATAGTTAGGGATAGAAATTTCTGTTGAATAACTCACATTTTAAAAAAAAGTTATTAAAACATAATCATGAAAAAAACTTTTTGAAAGCCATTTTGTTGGTTTCATTTGTGGGTTGTAGAATCAAATTTCATCTAATAGAACAAAAGTATTTAAACCATAATTGATTACCATTCAAAAAAAGCATATTTATTAACATTTATTTCATACAGAAAATAATTTTCTTTGGTCTTGGCGTGAGTTTATTCGTTGTTTTTTGACAAAGTATAATTTTACAATATAACATTATATATTATGTTTCATAGTACAATTGATAAACTAATTAGGAAAAAAAAGAAATCAGCATTCCATAGCAATACATCAGAGTTCGTTTCAAAATTTGCTATGATAAACTATACACAAAATAATGTTGTAATTAATTTTTACACTAAAAATTTTGTTTTAATATTTAAAAAATATGAAAAGGTACTGAGCGTGTTAAACAAAATTAAAAGAGTTATGAGGCTAAGATGTTCTGCGAGGGGGTCAAATTATGTTACAAAATATTTACGTAAATGCTGCCTTATGGTATGCAGTACGTAGGAATAAAATTGAGAAATGTGTATCTGTTAATGTACTATTGCTTATTTTTAGGTTGCATAAAACATCTTTAATTTTTATAAATTAAACTGAATAAAGTTTTGATTGTACTGTGAATATATATACAAGAACACATCTTGTTCCAAAAGCTTGAATAAGTTATTTAGAAGCTAATAATACATTTTTTGCAATTAGTTATAAATAAATTTGTATTATCTAATAAATAGTGAGAAACTATTAGTTCAAAAAAAAAGCTGTATATATTTTAATTTATTATTAACAAGTCCAAAAGTTAGTTCATCAGACTCATAAAGGAAGTGTACCTACATCCACACAACTGTCCATGCAGCAAACAATTCTTATGCTTACATAGTAACATGCATGTAGTATAAACACAATTCACACAGTTGTCTTACTCCCCGAAATGAAGCATCCCAAAATTTAAACTATGTTTATCCAGAAAATACATTATGACTAAAAATTAAAAACCATCATTGTTTTACCAAAAATATGGCATACAATCATCGTGATCATTCAAACTATCAAAAACATTTACAAACAGAAGTTGATGGCTCACATTTTTAACCATTACTTTTACTATACAAAGAAGAATAATTTACAAATGTATTATATGTATTGTATTTTTTCTCCTCTTCATTAAAATCAATCATTTATAGCACCCTTATTTACTCATTATATATTAATCATTTATAGCACCTTTATATCTTATATCATGCTCAATGAATGCAGCAGTATATGAAGAACATAATTATTGCAGAATACTTCAATCTGGAGAAAAATTCTCACCAACTTATATCTAGCATGTTCTTTATGTATGTTATATTTATCTTAGAATATTTCTTTTCACGACGTTTTACACTAGAAAAACAATTAAAGTTATTGATACTCTCGAGTTTTACGCGGCTTAACCTTTATGCAACACGCTCCTGATAAGCCATCTTCAAATTCCAATTCATAAGACGTATTTTACATCTTGTAAAAAAACTTCAGAAAAATTGCCTAAAAATTGTTTGGGAAAAAACTTTTTTTTTAGCTACCTCTCTCTATAATCAATTTCAAAGTAGTTTTTCGGGAACAGTTATGAAGTAACAAGTTATGCATTATTGATAATTTAAATTGTTTCCTTTAAAACTGTTAATATCTTTGTTTTATTAAATTATATTTTTTCCCTATATAATGAATTATCATGTACTGAATGCTTTTTTATTTGATTAGGTTTGGTCTATCAAAAGAAGAATATGCTGAAAAAAGCCATGAAGTGTTTTTGGAAACTCAAGGATATTGTCAAATACGATCCGTTGACTATCTATCAAATTGGCCATCTGTACCAATTGAGTGATGATATCGAACACGCATCGGAATGGTACTTAGTTACAATCAAATTAAATCTTATACAGTGTAGATAAGTACAGCATTTTTTTTCTAATATAATTATACTTCATGGGAAGAGAACGAGGGTCCATATAAAAAAAATAAAAGATTCAATCAGCCATTTACAAAACTTTATCGAGTTTAGAACACCGTATGCTCTTTTTTGCAGCGTTACGAAAACTAACTAAAAAGCTGCTGATGAACGCCAGCTGAAAAAAAGTTCGAGTTTCAACTTTTTCTCAAATGTAGGGAGATTCGTCTCAACTGCCTCAGCGCCACTGCAAAGCGGCCCGCTCGATTGCTAAAGACAACATTTTGGCTGCGTTGTTTCGGCATCAAAACATAAATAAGAAAATATCAACCATATACATTCTGAAGCGTCTTTACCTCAGCATTCGAATGGTATTACTGATTTTCACGATTTTTCCTAACATAACTTCGAAAAATGTAAATTAAAATTGAAAACGTGTTTTCGGCATGATCTTCAATTTTCTAATTTTTTTGGACCACACAGATCGAAAGATCAGGTGTTTTTACTTCGATATAGATTATAAAAAAATAGGTGTTTTTCGTTTTTTGTGAATATTTAAATGCGGAGCAAAATGATATTCACATGCCGCTTGCGCCAGCCAGGAGTCTCGACGCCGCTGCACGCGTCGGCTGTCGGTCTTTCTGTCTTACTGAATAACAACAATAATTATAAAATTTGACGGGCTGTAAATAAAATTTGTTTTTTACTAAGATTATGACTTAATCGAAAGATTGTTATTATTAATTTTGAACAACGATGAAGTAAATTAAATAAGATTATAAATATGAGGCTATACAACGTATTATTCCTTTTTTCTCCTTTTTTTATTGTTCATTGATGTATCATTTTTTATTTGTTTTTTTTTTTTGCTTCAACTTCGAAAAAATATCAAACATCTCGCTTAAAGATGTTTTTTTCAAAATTGATCTATTCTCTTCTGTAGGAATAACAGTGTGATACGGAAGAGTTCCCAGAACCATTTTAGCACTCGAAATATGTTCCTTTTTCATAAACTTCGTCATAGTCACTTTTGGAACAGAAGAATACTTGAGTCTCCTTGCAACTCATTTCTTCCCAATGAAAAAGGGCTTCTGCTGTTAAAATGTGCTTATCAGGAGACAGCTGCACACTCGTTTTCCTGGCTCCACGCTTTAAATTCGCTCCAATACCATCACACGCTCCTTTTCCATGGGCAGTGGCATAAAAATGTTACTCTGCAGTGATTCCAAAGTCTTTTTTGTAGTTCGCAAGGAGTTGAAAATTAGTATTGTTTTTAGAATGCTGGGCTGCGCCGTCACTCACGTAATAAATTTTTTTTGGAATGAATTCTTTTTTCAGATAATTAATTACGTAATGTCTATTTGCACCAAAACGCACCGTATATTTACGTAATTACCATTTATTATCATTTGATATTGGTAGACTGCTACTGTGTCGTGTGTGAGATTGTCAGATATTACAGCTAAGCTTTTGTGTTTTAAAACATTATCCGCACGATAATAAATAATAACAGCGAAAATTGTAGCCTGGTTTTTATTTCAGTGATATGACTGAGCTGCATTTTGAATCACAAACGCATAGTTTTCAGCGAAATCAAAGGAAACCGTGAACTCACCGTCATTCAATTCATTTTTTAATTGTTTAATGTAAACAAAATGGTTTTTTGCGAAAAAATGGTGAGTCCTCAGTTTCATCAATTTATCTCCTAATTTATCTAAATATTCATGAATTGGAACAGTATGTGATGCAATTGTACACCGATCTGTTTGTTCCCACGTTTCATACTTCACTTTACGAACTCCATTTGCCATCAACAGTTTCCTTAACAATTCCTTTAAACTTCCTGTGTTAGGGCAATCTAAACAATTATTCAAAAAACATTTTTCTGTAGAGCTTTGGCATACTATTGCTTTGATACAATCCTTGTAATCTTTCATAGATGTTGCTTGATTTTTGGTGAGCTTTTCTAAATTTATTGGCTGTAGCAATAACTTCACATTTTCATGATGAACGCAAATGCACACGTTATGCGTTCCATTGCTACCTGCTAAAACACAGTGTTTTGGTCGAAGCTGCGTGAATTTTGTGTAACCTATTTTCATGTTTTCATTCTCTTTTTTGAATAAAACATGCAACTTGTTTAAATTTCCCTACAATAATCGCTTTTCAACCCTTTTTTATTTTCTCTTTTTATGATCTCCATTGTCATCTTTTACTGAAATGTAATCATTCATACTGGGCATAGCGTGACTTACGTTGTCTTCTTCGTCTTCTCTTACTCTTTTGCTCTATATCTTCAGACATCGATTTGCCTTCTTTCTATCAAGCCAAGAAAGAATTCCATGCTTCTCAACAAGATCAACAGCAACTCTAGCTTCACGCTCTGTACACCCATACTCATTCATCATATCTCGTCTATTTCCAAAATCTCGGGCAAGTATGAGTAATAGTATTATTTCTCGCTTATCACTGGACGATTTAAATTTTTCAACAATTTGCTCCAAGACAGCTACTTTTACTTTTGTATGTTTTTCGTTACATTTTTCGCGTTCTTTCGTAATCGTAAGTTATTCAATTTCACATTGGATACAAATCATCGCATCCTTCAGTATTATCGAAAAAGAATCTTGCAGGAATTGTGAACATTTGACAAGACCTTTGTTTAGAAAGTGATTATCTTTCATCAAAGGGTTTACAGCAGTTGACCATCATGATTCAATCGAATTAATGTATTAGCTCACTGTAATGACGACACAAAAAAAACTTAAAATAATTCAGATTGTTGGTAATATGATGAATATTATTATTACCTGCAGGACGTGAAAAAACAACTTAATTAATGATAAATCGGTCTGTACTGTATATCTGAATTTTAAAATCATAAGTTCACTTTGTGGCATGAACAGTTCAGACAGTAATGGTAACTAATGATATCATCGAGCGAATTTTATCTGACAAGTACAAACACAAAGTGGGGTTATCCACATTGTTTACAATTTGACCATTCGTTTTGCAGAAAACAGAGAGGCCGACAGCCAACGCGTGAGGCGGTGTCGTGACTCCCGACTGACACGCGTGGCATGCGAATATCGTTTTGCTTCGCATTTAATTATTCGCAAAAAACGAAAAACACCGATTTTTTTATAATCTATGTCGAAGTAAAAACACCTGATCCTTCGATCTGTATGGTCCAAAAAAATTAGAAAATTGAAGATCATGCCAAAAAGACGTTTTCAATTTTAATTTACATTTTTCGAGGTTATGTAAGAAAAAATCGTGAAAATAAATAATACCATTTGAATGCTGAGGTAAAGACGTTTTAGAATGTATATGGTTGATATAAATCTCCCCATATTTGAGAAACAGTTGAAACTCGAACTTTTTGTAAGCTTGCGATCGTCATATAAGCTATGCTTATCTTCCCATATGTACTATGAAGATAGCTTAACAAATTAATATATGTTCTTAATACTCTACGCTGGATAGTTTTTTTTTTTTAATTATATGCAATGACTGCAACATTTTTAAACGATTTGATCATCCATTCTACTGGGTACAAACAACAGGGTGCAGTGATTATTTTAAGTACACCTTAGCCGTTATCAGAATTGATGCAAGGATCTCTTCTCTCGAAATGCTTTATTAGTAGTATAATCATTTATCTTATCAAACATCGTACGTATCGGAAACTTGCTACTTAATTTAAATTTTAAAATTTACTTGGTTAAAAAAAAGAATAAATAAAAATTGCAGTTGAAAATTAGTACTACTGTTATGCATATANTTATCTCGAAATGCTTTATTAGTAGTATAATCATTTATCTTATCAAACATCGTACGTATCGGAAACTTGCTACTTAATTTAAATTTTAAAATTTACTTGGTTAAAAAAAAGAATAAATAAAAATTGCAGTTGAAAATTAGTACTACTGTTATGCATATAAGAAATTACTGTTTTAGAAGAATTATGTGATAGTACAATACTAAAGATAACTAAACCGTTTAAGTATAACATTAAAGCTCAAGTTATCACTTGTAAAAAAAAATGTAAACAACGTCTTTATTTGACAAACAACTTCAAATACTAATTGTCCTAATATTGGTAATGCCTGGGATGAGATCATGGAGAAGAGAACGATGCAATCGCACAGTAATACAAAATGTCAAGCGATGCTAGAGAGCAAGCACAGCGTGACGAAGCCTGAGACTCCTCGTTTCCTACTGGTGCCGAGCGCACGAGGAGTGACAGTCACAGTCAGGCTATCACGGCTCTATACTACATGTAGTGCAATCTATAATCAGGCTGACGCAACACTAATATTTCATCTTCTTCATTCTTTGTATTATATAGAAAACAATTTCCTTCAGTAGTAGCTTCTTCTATAACTATTAATAAGTTGCAAGGTCAAAGTTTTAGTAAATTAGATTTGTACTTAAAAAATTACTATTTTCACATGGTCAGTTACGTTTTGTATTGCATAGGTGTAAAAATACCAAAAACATTTTTTTTTACCTCGAGCGCTTTTAAGGGTCAAGTGTGCCCTTCGTAGAAAAAATGAGATTCGCACATAGTGCGCACTAAACCTGGGCAAGCACAAGCCTGGTACTTGCCCTGGTAACATGTGCCACCAAATACGAACACTACCGTTCCGTTTTTTGGGTAGGTGTTTTGCGCTCTTAGGCACACTTTTCACCCACTGATTCCGTTGAAACCACGAGCGAGAATAAATATTCTGGCCCAAATGGACCCAAAATTGATTTACAACTCAAGGCGAAAAGTAAATAGCAAGTGGAAAGTATGTCTTCGGGCCCAAAGGTGCACATGCGCCTTTGATACAAAAAAATGTCGTTCACACCTTGGGCACAAACATACAACTCTATGGGTGCACAGATTGTACTTACTGGCCTTAGTAAGAAATATACTATTATGGTATGGTATTTTAATTTCTAGAACTCTTTTC